TGATTTAAAATGGGCTGGAGCCCCCACCCCCCACCAGCAGTGCAATGGAGCTGAGCGGCTTCCTGCTTGCTTGCTCCACGTGGCTGCCGACCCCTCCCTGTGGCCCCTGGGCAGGGTGGGACTGTGTCTACACGTGCTGCTTCCACCCCAAGCGCCCCTACGGCCAATAGGAAGCTGCGGGGGCGGTTCCTGGGGGTAGCAGCGCAGAGAGGCCCCTCCTGGCCCACACTGCCTAGGAGCCTCAGGTAAATGCCGTGCCCCCCCCTTCCACAGCCTGCACCCCCACCCTTTTCCCACACACCCCCTCCCACCCCCAAACTCTCTTCCAGAGCCTGCACCCTCGCCCTCCACACCCCCTCCCATCCCCAAACTCCCTTCCAGAGCCTGCACCCCACCCCCAGGCCAGAGTCTGTACCCAAACTCCCTCCCAGAGCCTTAGGCAGGTGAGGGGGGGCAGAGTTTGGGGAGGTGGGCTCTGGGCATTCTGGGCACCACCAAAATTTCTACAAACCTGCCACCCCTGCCTACATACTTATTGGGGTAATTCCTCTACCCTGCCTGCTCCATTCTGGCTGGCAAGTATGCTAATGAAATGCACAAGAATCCTGCACTCTGTGCACTTCCGAGAGCAGCAATCTTTTATATTTTAATATCCCTCGGCTTAGAAGGATAGTTACAATGATGGGACAGCTCTATCACAAACACACCTAGCCCCTGCCCTTGGTGTTGTCAGCTATTGTGTTGTGTAAGCATTTTAACAATGCTGTAAACCTTGTTTTGTGAATCTTTCATGAGCTGGCAATTAAAGAATAAAAAAACAGTAACAATATGTACTTCTCTAGTACTTTACACCAAGGAGTTCAAAGACCCTGACAAATTCTAATTCTCACAGCATCCCTTTAAGGTAGCTAAGTACTATACCCATTTTATAAACAGATAAACATGGGCCCTATCTACAGGACAGGAATATTTCAAATCGTTTTCGTGGCTGCTAACACTGTTTCAGCTCTGCCAGTATTAACCCCACTGGGACCCCTCCTGTGGATTACCCAATGTCTGCTGCCACTGTTTTAAGCACCATGTTATCTAATGCTGCTCACAGCAAGCCAGGATGCTTAAAACAATGGTGGCAGGTTTTTTAGTCTATGTTTACGCTACAGTGGCACAGCTACAGCACTGCAGCTGTGCCACCGTAGCATATAGACATGCTACAGTGATGCAAGGGGTTTTTCTGTCACTGTAGTTATCCGCCCCTCTGAGCAGTAGTTTAGGTGATGAAAGAATTCATCTATCGACCTAGTGCTGTCTACGCTGGGACTCAGGCTGGCTTAATGACGTCTCTCAGGGATGAGCAATGTAGCTAGGGCAACCTAACTTTTAGGTGTAGATGTTGCCAATACTGGTAACGATGAACTGATGTTAGCAACTGGGAAAGCTGTGAAAAAATTTGCTTAGGACAGGTCTACTCTAAAAAGTTAAGTCGACCCAGATAGGTGTCTCAGGGGTGTGAAAAATCCACATCCTGGAGCAACGTAGGTTAGCAGACCTAAGCCCTAGTGTAGAGGACATTAGGTGGATGGAAGAATTCTTCTGTCGACTTAGCTGCAAGCTCTCCGGGAGATGGAGTAATTACAGTAATGGGAGAACCCCTCCCAGTGCTGTAGTGAGTGGCTACACTGAAGTGCTACAGTGGCGCAGCTGTACCAGTGTAGCAGTTTAAATGTAGACATAGCTGAGTGTAGACAGGGTTTAGATGTTGTGACATTCCCAAAGTCACACAGTGAGTCAGTGCCAGTACTGTGCTCTAAGTCAGTGGTTTTCAAACTTTTTTTTCTGGCAACTCAGTTGAAGAAAATGGTTGATGCCCGCGACCCAACAGAGCTGGGAATGAGTCTAGGGTGTGGGAGGGGCTCGGGGCTGGGGCAGAGGGTTGGGGTGCGGGGGTGAGGGCTGCAGGGTGGGGCCAGGAATGAGGGGTTCAGGGTGTGGGAAGGAGCTCTGGGCTGGGGCAGGGGTGTGGGAGGGGGTCACAGCTCTGGGCTGGGGGTGCAGGCTCTGGGGTGGGGCCAGGGATGAGGAGTTTGGGGTGTATGAGGGGGCTCCGGGTTTGGGGGGGGGCTCAGGGCTGGGGCAGAGAATTGGGGTGTGGGCTTACCTTGGGCGGCTCCCGGTCAGCGGTGCAGCGGGGGTGCTAAGGCAGGCTTCCTGTCTGTCCTGGCACTGCGGACCACGCTGCGCCCCGGAAGTGGCCAGCAGCAGGTCCGGCTCCTAGGGGGAAGCGCACAAGTGGCTCTGCGTGGTTCTCACCCACAGGCACTGCCCCCCCAGCTACCATTGGCCAGGAACCGGCCAATGGGAGTACTGAGACGGTGCTCGGTGCAGGGACAGCGTGCAGAGCCCTGTGGCTCCCCAGCCTAGGAGCCGGACCTGCTTCTGGCCGCTTCTGGGGCACAGCGCAGTGTGAGAACAGGTAGGGACTAGCCTGTCTTAGCCAGGCAGCACCACTGATGGGACTCTTAATGGCTCAGTCGGCGGTGCTGACCAGAGCTGCCGTGACCCAGTGCCTTACATTCCGTGACCCAATACTGGGTTGCGACCCACAGTTTGAAAACACTGCTCTAAGAATTTAAACAGCCCTCTCCTTTTGTTACAAAGGCCAATGTCTTATTGACAAGGAAAATTCCTAGTGTGGGTGCATGTTAAGGAGTCAAAGTCCTTTTGCAAACAATACTTATGCCACACCCCTTTACCACGAAATACATGTCCCAAAATGGAAGGTTCTAATTTGCATTATACTTATACTCAGATGAAATGGTTTTTCTGCTAATTAGATTACACATATCCTGTACAGATACTGACTTCCAGCTGTATGGTTACCTCTCAAACATCCCATAGCACAAAAAAATCTCTGTGCTCTGACTGGCTGGGGCCATTCAGAGCAACTCCCTGCTGGACTTGGTCTAAAAAACATCTCTCAGAGAAGAGGACATTTTCAAGCTGCTGCTGGCTACATCTTCCACTAGCACATCCTTGAGCAAAGGCACATCAGACAAGCTTCAGTCTTAGACTATGTCTACACTGCACTTTCGTTGGTAAAACTTTTGTGGGTCAGGGGTGTGAAAAAAACACCCCCGACCAACAAAAGTTTTACTGACGAAAAGCACCAGTGTGGACAGTGCTATGTCTGTGAGAGATGCTCTCCCGCTGACAAAGCCCTACCACCCATCCGCAGGAGAGCTCTCTCCTGCCGACGAAGAGCAGCTTTAAGGGGCACAGTGTAGACACAGCCTTACTCTCATTTGCAGCTTCAGAATGGTCCAGCTGTGGAGAATCCCCACAGCTACCTCACTCAGCTATTTAATGGAGAGGTGAGGAGAAATTTGTAGGACTATATTTAATACAAAATGAAATTTCTCGTTTGGGGTGAGGTCCTGGGCAGCAAAAAGGTAGAAGGTAGAATGCTAATCTGAGCATGCCTTCTGTTTGAGGAAATACAGGCTAAATCAATCTTAGTGGCCTTTGGTCTCCAAGTTGAGTAGCTTAAAATAAGGTTATTAGATCATTAAGAGGAGACACCCTTAAGTTAGCAGCAAACAAAAAAAAAATAGCACAACTTGTACATAAACATTTATGATTTTAAATAACCAATTCAGTGATTTACATAGCATCTTGCTGGGTTTTTCCTTATTTTCCTCAATGTCCCAGTTTAAGCCCTTTGAATCATCTCACTTCTTACCTCCTGGGCATTTTCTGCCTGCTGTTTATCTCGCTAGTTTTGAACTGGGAGCACAGACCTGCTGCATCATATTAAGCAAATGGACTAGCAGTATTTTTCCACCCCGTGCCATAGAACTAGCGCCCTGCCCACGTTGCACCCAAATATTTCAATTGCTTCACAGTGCATCGCTGGGCGGCGCGGCCGGAGCGTGGGGAGGTGGTGCACAGAGATCTGTTTGCTCAGAACACACGCTGCTTTGGTTGCAATCCCTTTGACAGCAGCGTGATGGTTATCCTGGCTCCGGCTGCCCAACACAGTACGCACAGTCCGGGCCCTGAAATGCAACCGAGTGAGGCGTTCAAGCAAAGGTTATCGGGGGGCGGGAATCCCAAAGGGCGCTTCACCTTGTAACCATAAAAAAGTACAGGAAAGAAAGCAGCAAGGAGAGTTAAACAAAACCCCGAGCCTTGGACAGATCTGGGCCGACAGGCCGGTGCGTGCTGGGGAGAGCCGCGCAAGGCTGCTCTGGGACGCAGCAGGTTTTAATGAGCCAGATTCTGGTCCCGCTGAATCGGGGCGTCACTGAGCGAAGCCAGCGGGGCCCCTCCCCGGCAGGCGGTGGGGTGTGTGTATGTGGGGGGGGGTGTCTCTGAGGGCTGTGATTGGCCCTTAGGGAACGATCCCCCAAGTTCTTCAGAGGGCAAGATTATGTCCCCGGAGCGGGGGCTCCCTGGCCTCTTGCCCCCCCCTGCTCCGGCTCCAAGTTACAGTCGCTCCGGGCGGGCGCGCCCCGGTCCCCAGCCCCGGTGCCCACCCCACCCAGGCCCCAGTGCCTGCATCCCTGGCGTGCAGGTGCCGGCAGCCCCCAGGCTCAGACCCCACGTGCTCAGCGCTGCCCGGGTAGAGTCCTGGCTCCGCAGAGATCCCCGGCAGCGCTGCTCCCTCCGGCCCGGCTCTGCCGTCTGCAGCAGCCTCCTCCGCGGGAGAGGGGAGCGTAGCTCCGCCTCTGGCGGCTCGGGGACTGCCCCATAAAGGCAGCTGCCGGCGGGCAGCCGGACCCGAGCTGCAGCATCTGCCCGTGTGTATCGCGCGCGGCGCTTGGCGAGTCCCGACCCCTGCCGGCCCCCAGAGGGAAGCAGCAGTAGCAGCAGCCCGCCCGTGGGCAGGGGGATCACAGCGCCTGCACGCGCGGAGCCATCCCCGCCAGGGGCAAGGACCGAGGGGCAAAGGCATTGCAGAGCGCCTGGCGCTCCCAGCCAGGGCAGTTCGGTGCGTTGTGCAGATGAGCTTGGAGATGAGACCGGTGCCCTTAGCCGAGAGGCTTCTGGTTCTTCCAGCAGCCCTGGCACAGGAGAAGAGCTCGGGGGACCATACAGCGGTCAGCGGACCTCACTTCTTTCAGATCGTCTCTTTCAAATGGCATCATGTGCAGGAGCCCTACATCATTGCGCTCTGGATACTTGTGGCTAGTCTGGCCAAAATCGGTGAGTCCAGAGCTCTATGTACATCTGCCCTGTCTGATCGCCCCACTTTAAGTAAAAGAGGCTCGTTATCACCTGCATTGTTCCCTTTTCTATACCCAGGGGGGCTGTTTTACTGTATTCTTTGCCAGCTTCGTTTCTGAACAGTGCCAGCCACAGCGTTCAGCAGTGGGGTTTTGGCTGTACCTGTGGATAACTCACTAGTTCATTCTCATTGGCTAGGACCATAGCGTTTGTATCTGATGGTTTATGAACGCAGTCTTATTGTCATTGGTCCCGGGGAAAGTGTTACAAAACTAAACCAAGTACGGAATAGGAAATCAAATTTGGTTATCTATAAAACGACCGCACTTGCATATGATATGCCTTCCACCTCTTATTATAACTGGCAGCAATGTTACATAATGAAACTTTAAACAAATATTGCAAACCCACTTATCTGGAGCATTAGTATCCTCTGCTATTGTAATTCAGTATGGTGTTACCTGGAGGAGAATGCAAAAGTGCAACCGTTTATGTGGAATATGGGTCAATTTGTATGTTTTAACTAACCAAGAGCTATTGTTTTCTGATCTGTGTGACATTTCTAAAAGTGCAAGAGTTTATATCTTTCCATATTATTATTACTAAGGTCTAAGCAATTTTATGTTTGTTTGCTAGTTAGCCGAAATTGATGTTAATAGTTTGATGCTATTATCTGTGAAGGTCAATGTACCTCAAACTAGATCTCCAATTTTGCTGTAATGTTAAACATCTTACAGGGATGATTCACCTCCAAAAAGAAACCAAATGCAAATGCTATTGGCCGATTGAAAGGCCATCACATTTTATAGATGAATTTCCTTACTTGTGTTAATAATAGTAATAATTAATAATACTTTAGATTATTAACATTTAAATATGTTTACAAATTTAATTCATTGTTCACTTTCAATGTAGGTTGCAGGTCACTCAGATTGGAAATTGTAAAGAGACTAGTCTCTTTTACTTTTGGTTGGGGACACATTCTCACAATGCAGCAATGTTTGGGTTGCAAACAGCATTTAAATCCAAACAAAATTGTTTCCATTAATATTTTAAAAATGAATGAAGTATATGAATGCCAGTTTCAGTATAACTTTTTAAAACAAAACTTAAGTTTGGGGCTTCATCTACCTGAAAGTGTATGTGTAAACTTAAGATCTCTGTGAGAATAAAGTTATGAAACATATTAAGAAAATGTGCTTGGAAAGTGTAATCTCCTAATAAACAAGATACCTAAATGATCTATAAAATGTAGAGTTTTGATTTGGTTGACTTTCATTGACAAGTTATGTCAATTTGAAGAGACATAAAAAGTGGACAGTGACTGTTATTCAGTAGCCTTGGATACTTTTTGACTCTGAAAAAATAAAATTGGTGATTGGAGAAAGGGGTATAGGCAAAAGAGTAGCGCCACTGGCAGCAGATAAATTAAGAAATTACGAAAATACACTGGTTGCCAATTTGAGCCTCCTTTTGGGGATACTCTCCTAGTAAAGTATTTTTGGGTTTGTGGTTTGTGTTGTTATGAATTGGCTTCTGTGTATGTGTACCACTGCTCTCTACTGAATGGAATCAGTGCTGTACAGCTGTATGTCATAAGCTCTATACAGCTAACAGCTAGTGAGGATTCTCATTTAGCTTAGTGGTAAGTAACTTTTGAAGCATGATGAGTTCTATTTCAGCTTTCACCATGAAGTCCTGAGTAGACAGTGTTGTGCTGCATAATGGTGTCCATTAAGTCTTTGGTGTCCTTGGATTTGTTCCAGTATCATTTTAAGGCAGAGGCAAATAATTCAGAAACTACATCTGGCTCAGTTTTTAAATTATTGGAGCTCTCTTCATTGCTACACAGATTCAGTGACCATTGCTGGTGGACAGTGACCCCAGATACTTCCCTTCTCCTCTCTGCCCATTTTTGTAACTGTGTTTCACTTGAGCTGGTCTCTGGAGGGGCACTGAGCAATAACTGCATACTGTAAAGCACCAGTAGCACGTCTTGAGCTGGTTTAGCTGCTCCCACCAGCCACCAATCAGATGAGTGAAATGCAGAAATGACCACTGCTGATTGGTGCTGACAGAGCGAGGGTGTCTGATTTGGCTCAAATGGGAGTAGTTTTTTTCAAGGAGACAAGACGGGTGAGGTAATATTAGCCCAATTTCCGCTGGTGAGAGAGACAAGCTTTCGAGCCACACAGAGGTCTTCTTCAGGGCTGGGAAAGGTACTCAGGAGTGTGACAGCTAAATGCAAGGTGGCACAGATTGTTTAGCATAAGCAGTTAGCACATATTCTAACGGACCAGTCAAGGTGAAGTTTGTTTCAGTCAGATCAGCTGCAGCCCTGACTAAACGGGATGCTGGAAAAAGGGAGGTAAAAAGGAAATGAATGTTGTTGAGCAGGATTTAAGGAGGGGAGCGGGAGAAAAAGACTAAGGGGGAACTCCCACAGGTAGGCATAGCAGGAAAAAGGAAGAAGATAAAATGCAAGAGACAGACTTTCTGTCTTGCTCTGCTTCTTTCTTAGTGCCAAGGTAGCACAGATTAACCTCAGCCTCCTGGCTGAGGATACCTCTGAATGGTGGATTCTTGAGCAGACATGGAGATGCCTCTTATACCTCCCTCCCTATGGCCCCTGGTGCAGTGGCCATGTCAGGGGATGGGAGAGGCATTTTAGGGGTGGGTAGAAGTGGCTGGAGTAAAATATACTCCAGCAATCCCTAGATGGCAGATGGTCCCTAGGGGCTGCTGTAACCAGTTTGGGGCTGGGGCTGGGCAGAGAAAGGGGGAGCCTTAACAGTCCCATCTGCTGTACCCAGTAGAAAGCACAGCAGATAATCTGTCCCATAAAATATTTTAAAATTGCTTGATCAGCTATCTGATGCCAAAATATTACTCCAAAGTATGCACCAATAAGTTTGATTTTATTAAAGTGGTGCTAGTGACTCCATAGTTACTCTTCTGATGAGATCTGCAGGTATGGTGAGATCCTACAAAATCCTTTTGTAGCTATATATAAATACAATCAAATGACATGATTTTGTAGGAGGAGGATTCTTGGAAGTTAATGAATGGAAGGTGGGCAAGTAAGCTAAGTCTCCCTTCGCATGTGGAAGTAACCATCAGTTTTATTTTCCACACCAGTAGTGACACTGGCTTTACATGTATTTTGTGCATCTGACGGGCAAGTATGTGAGTGCATTTAGGACCTGGCTATTGTGATTCATATTTGTTTGCAGAACATAATGTGCCACTGACAAGTTATTCTAGTGAAGAACTTTCAGAGTATTACCAAGTAAGCTTACATATCATGGCATACAGTTTTTCTATCTGAAATGGGGGTAGTCTTCAAAAATGAAGAAAATTGTATGTGGTATTTCAGTTTTCCCCATTTTCTTTTTTTTTCTGCATCAAGAATACTTCTCCCTCCTGCCCAAGTTGGTATGATTGCAGGTATGGGGACAGTGTCAGCACTAGTCTGGTCTCCTTCACTGGTTCCCACCCTGCACACATTTTTCCTTGGATTGGTAGTGGCTGGGAACAGTAAGGTGGGAACTATGTGATGCAGCTGAGTGTGCTATCTCATATATCAAATTTAATTAGATTGGGTTCTATTCCTTTAAAAGGTTCCTGTTACCTGTTCTAGGATACATGGTGTTATCCTTTGGCCTATGGGATTTATTTCTTCTCATGAAAGGCTCGCTTATCAATATCCTTAGGCAGGGAGGCCAATAAATCCTTTACATGTGAAAAGTTAAACACATGAGTAAGACCATGTCTATACTAGAAAGGGTTTGCCATTATAGCTATGCTGGCAAGCCCTCCTAGTGGAGATGCAGCTTATATCAGCAAAAGGACTTTTTTAGCTGCATGACAGCTTCTACGTTAGGATTTCTGAGTTATGCTGAGTAGGCGTGTGAATTTTTTTCATACCCTTAATTGACATAGTTATGTCTGAAAAATGTTTAAGCGTAGGTCAGGCTTAAAGTGAAAGACAAGAAGGGACACTCACTGCCCCCACCTCACGCATCATTTTTGTTTGTGTGGTTTTTTTTTAAAACACACCTTCCAGGTCTCTTTGATATCATAAAGAAACAAAATAAGCACACAATCTTCCCCACCCCTTTAAAGGGCAGGGAATGAGAATAGAAGTCACACAATGGGAGAGAAGAATATTACAAAAAAGCCAGAAGTAGGAAAGAGACCAAAAATTCATCCAAGGGAGTGGGTACAGGGAAAAGACAATAAGCTCAGGAGAAAAATGGAAGCAAATCTCTTTGTTTCAATGCAGAGATTGTATTGCCAATTTCTTTTCTGCTGTCACTCTAACAGTGACTGTTATGTCATCACCACCAAAGAAAGGTATGTTTTTACTGCAGGATAACTAACGTGCATTAGCTATCTTGCAGTAACATCCTAGTGGAGACAAGGTTCGGTAGTTTTTACCATACGAGGTGAGGTCAATACTATTCTCCTGCCCATGGTTTATTTCAAGGTAAAAACTACAATGCCTCATCTTCACTAGAATTTGACAGCAGAATAGCTAATGTATGTTCGTTATCCTGCAGTAAAAATCCCATGGTAAAAATCCCCCTACCTTTTTTGTGATGAAGACATAGCCAATGACAATGCAGTTGATTGCATGGCTTACCTTAACCACAAACAAGACAAGTTACCACTTTCACCTCTGCCATCTTGCACATTGATGTTGCAATTTGCAGGCCTACTCAGGCCAGATCTACACTAGAAAAGGTTTGCCAGTAGTGCTATATTGGCAAACCCTCCCAGCATCGATGCAGCTTATACCAGCAAAAAAGTGCTTTTGCTGGTATACTTATACTGATTCACTGAGCAAAATAAGCTACATACCAGTGACAGCACTCTTATGCCAATGTAACCACGTCTACACTAAGGCTTTTGCTGGGTATAGAAATGTTGCCAAAAAATAATATCCCTTACAGACATTGCTATACCAGCAAAAATTT